GAAGAAGGAAATTGTACAAAAATACGAGGGAGTGGTTGACACATCGTCAGTGTCACTTTGTTTATGCTGGAGTGAACATTAGTCTCCCTGCTCTTCCAAACATTTCACAATAATTCAGCGGTTGAGGCAGTGGTATTTAATAACATATATGTTATAAATAATAATAGTACATATTATTATTAACATGTATGTTATTAAATACCATTGCCTCAATCACTGCCTCTACCACTCCAAGTCACACTCAATCTACAAGCACCAAAACACAATGAATTATTGTGAAATGTTTGGAAGAGCAGAGAGACTAATGTTCACTCCAGCATAAACAATAGTCACACTGACGATGTGTCAACCACTCCTCTGTATTTTTGTACAATTTCCTTCTTCAATTATATCGTATTTATTATTATTATTATTATTATTACTATTGTTATTATTAGCTGTAGCAGAAATGTTTAATTCTTTGCAGTGTTCAAGAGTAAACACATGATGTCACTGTCTAATACCTGTCCGAATAGCCATTCCAATATGCAGTCATGAATGGGTTTACATTATTTGTACTGTAGTTTAATAGCAAATAATGAACAAACAAAACACTCACCACACTGAGTGGTGGGAGGGCTGGCTGCCAGTTGCAGGGGTCGGAAGGAGGGTAGTAGGGACTCGCAGGTGGCGGGAAACTTAAATATGATTTGGCGGCTGGGAATTTGGTGGCTGGGAATTTGGTGGCTGGGAATTTGGCGGTTGGGAATTCGCAAATGTGTGAAGCCCGTGAAAGTTGAAAACGTGAATGTTGAGGGAGACCTGTATACTGCTTGAAAGAGAGTCTTCCTTTGAACAGAATCAAAGACTCGTCAATTACAAGCTTCCTGAAGGGATAAAGATGCGTACTGAATTTCTCTTTCAGATACACAAACGCATTCCTAATCTTATATAACCTGTCATTTCTGTCAGGCCTGGTTTTGTCTGAGAAGTGAAGCATACGTAACATTAGCACAAATCGATTCACTGACATTATATCACTGAAACCTGGGGTTGCAATCAGGCGGTCTGTTGACCAGTATGATTTCACTTTGTGCTTATACACATGTGGCATAAGCATTATTGTGGCAAAGAAAGGATACATCTCAGCCACAGTTGCCTCCTTCCACTGGTGTAGACATGATTTTGGTGAAAGTAATGTTTGCCATGGTGTACTCGTAGTATGTGTTGCTTTCCATGACAATACTTTCCATCAGGGGTTCGTCAAAGAATAACTCGAAACATTCCAGTTCAGTGGCATTGTTCCCAAGTGTACAAGATGGCCGTATTCCACTTTGGCTGTCATCAAACTGGTGGGGATTTGGAACAAAATTGACAGCTTCCTGCCAGTCCCAGGTGCGGTCTGCTGGTGGGTACTGGACAATGACAGGTGGTTGTGGTTGTGGAGGTTGTAGTTGTGGAGGCTGGTGTGGTGGGTGGGTGGGGGATGGTGGCCTTTGTTGTAGATCAGCTGAGGCAGCGGCGTGGGTGGCAGCATGGCCCACTGCTGGTGCCTCACCGCCGGCACCACTACCACCACGCACATTTTCCATCCCAATTGCAAAAGTATCATCGTCATTTTCACTGTCTGTTCCTGTTGTACAGCCACGGGATGTACTCCGAGATGTACTCCTTCCCCTTGGAATAGCTTATGGCACACTACCAGAGCGCATATATCGTCGTATATACTGACGCTTCACTGGGGAATATTGCACTTCACTATCACTACTGGAACTAGTTTGAAGAGCTTGTAGTTCATATTCACTATCACTATCATCACAATGCTCTCATCTGAGTCTGGGATTTGGGAAAATAGGAGTTTCCTCTTGGATTCTGGTACAACTGAACGTGAACAAGACGGCCCAGCACCAGAGGTGGAAGGCTGAGGGTCGTCTGGGTTTTCCTCACTATTACCGATGTTATGGTCATTAGTTTCGGTCAAAACCTCACCAAAACCTTGAAACTCATCTTCACTGGCACTTCCATCTGTATTAGAACTGTCACTGGGGAACAAAAGTGTCCCAATTCACTGAGGAGTGAGGAGCTTCTTACCGCGAGGCATGGTGGACATTGTTTACTAAGATGCCGTTCCCGCAATGCACCACTGGGTCCCAGATTTTTTTCTACCGCACACACCGACCACACAGACCCATTCTCTCACATCTAGGCCTACCAGCCTTTTCCCCGCGAGATTTGACGGCGCTAGAATTTATGCATACTAGTACGTCAAAAACCCCTGCGCGTAAGCCGTACTAGTATGTCCAAAACCCTCAAAGAGTTAAGGTAAGTAATGAGTGTACATGATTATTATATTATAGTTTAATAATAATATTAATATTAGTACATATGTATTATTGTAATAATAATTATTAATATTGTTATTAATTTAGGGCACTGGAGCACAGAACCACTGTATAGCACTTTGTCTGGATTTTTGGGGTTATCCTAGGTAATTTATACTATGTATGATAACTTCACTTACGTGTATCTGTGTGAGAGAGAGAGAGATACAGAGAGAGAGAGAGTGATACAGAGAGAGAGAGAGAGAGGAGAGAGAGAGATTCAGTCAGCCAACCACCCACCCAGCCAGCGGGATACGTATTACACATGTTCCAGAGTTGTTTCTCTTTACTTAAGGTATAGGTTATACTACACTACCAGTGGTATTCTCCCATTCCACTGTGTCGACAATACATAAAGATAACAGTAACATATGATACTGTATGCGATGTAAAATTTACAATACAGTTCACTACCATGTATACATTATATATAGTACATAAATAATTAAAATATAACAATAGAAGTAAATTATGGTAAAAAGAATGAAATAATGATTGTACATTTCATTACAGTACTATGTAGGTAGTTTAGGTAGGAAATGTTTGACGTTATGCCTTACCCAGTATGTCGGCAATTTTCAAAGGTTCGACTTACGTCCATTTTGACTTACGACTGGTTGGTCGGGACCACGCTTTGTCCTAAGTCGGATGGTAGGTGTATATTTAAGCCAAGATAACCCAGCAAAGTCAATGTGAATAATTTCCATGTTTTGAGGAGTATTACACTCTAAACCAATTGTAATATTATAAGTACACGTATTACTTTACATAGCCTTAGAAGATCAAAATAGTAAAAAAATAGGATGAAAAATTTATACAGTACAGCCTATTCTCACTTGGCAACGTACTCGTTTACCGACACCTCGGACTTACAACAGGCACTCTGACCAGTATTCATACCTAAATAATGCATATTAGATCTGATTTCCTCTATTCTCTTTGTTTCAGTATACAGTACACTAATGTATAAACATTTAAAGGTATACCAGAAACGTTATAAATGGTGCAAAGGTGACATTACAACAGTATGAAAGATGGTTGACACAAACTCACTACCATTATATTGTGCTCCTCACTTAGCAATGGATTCGTTTAATGACATGGTCTTAGGAACAGAACTCTGTTGTTAAGCGAGGAGAGGCTGTATATATACCTTACTAATACTGATTATTCCAAGTGAAGCAGTGTTAGGCTATTTATTTCCCCCATGTTTGAAGGACTAATACACCTTTAACCCTTTCAGTGTGACACCTGCTCTCAAGTTAGTTTAATATCTTTATTATTCACCCTGTACCCATCCTGTGGGTGGTAGTCAAAGGATTACAGAGGTACATAATGGGCAAGCTTGCTATCAGGATCGCGAAAAAAAAAAAAAAAAAAGTTATTTTTTCTTATGAAATGGTAAAGATTTTTTTCTGAAGGTAATAAAACAAAAAGTACAAAATTTGATGATAAATTGTGAATTTTGCTGCTTCAGCGGTATTCATGCATCAGCGATTTCATCCCCTGTGAGTCCGACCAAATTCTTAGCTATTTTGCTAATACGTCTTCCATTCTGTCGACTGAGTACAAGAAACTGCCCATTCAACTATTTAAACTGCCCAATAAAGTGATCAGAAATTGGTAATTTGGCCAATTTCACACAAAATTCAAGAAATGCCAGTTTCAAAATAGGGTCCAGAATAAACAATGCAGACATTCCTGGCATTAAAATAACATTTACTCTGTTCATCAGTCACACCTCCAGCCTCTTATATTGTGTTCGTTTTTCATTTTGAATTTTTATTCACACACGCACAAATAAAAAAAAATAGAATATTTACTGCTATGCAGCTTATTGCATTATTGTAATACTAATTGTATAAATAATGTCCGTGCATTCCTAAATGCATATTAGACTGGCCAGTTGAAAGTGTATTGGACAAGTGACTTCATTTTTGTACTCTGGAATATTGGCAAAAATTGAACACTCCAGCTACTTTGAGTTCAGTTTCAAGCTACTTCCACTCTTGAAACCAGTCAGAATCATCTTTATTTTGGTAATATATCCTCCATAATAACCATATGAAAATGCAAAATAAAGTTGCCATTTTAAACCAAAAACACAGTCACAGTTTTTTCTCATTATGCACTGCATGTTGTAGGATTTTTTTTTTTGTATGGTGCACACTTACCGCATAGACCCATTCTCTCATGTATAGGCCCAAATTTACTGCCCCACGGGTTCCTGAGTGAGCTGAGCTCATGGTGTTATGCTATGGGACTGATGCTGGCACTTTTATGGCTCTGTTGCCGATGAGTGATCATTTTTCTACCAACTTCAACACACCATAAAATTATAAGTCTTTATCATGTATCACTCATTTTAGTATTTGCTTCAGAAAAATGAACTCTATCGAGCTGTAAGAAAAAGTAATTTTATCTTCCCACAGACAGGATTTTTTTTTTTTGTTTTCAAGGAATCCCACAATTAAAGGGTTAATCAAAGTCCCTTCAACAGCACCACAGTTTCCACCTTTACAGTACAGTAGTTTGTGAACAGTTATGTAATATGTCCTGCCTCTCCATCCCTACAATAAGCATTATTTGCATTCATTATTTATTGACAAATGACACACTAAATAATAATTTTTTCTGCAGATAAATATGTCTCCAGCTTCAGTTCTTGCTCGTTTAGCAGCTGCACAAGGACATGAAAATGTGGAACGAGAAAAAAGACTTCTGCAGATTTCTTGTATGGAATCTTCTTGACATTTGTCTTGTATTTGTGAATAAATTTACAGATTTAAGTATCCACAAAGGGGCATTTTTTTCCTCCAACTTTTCATTACTGGTTTACTCTACTAGGGAAGTTTTGGCAACTATTAATATGTTCACATGCATTATTAACTCTATATTGCCCATTTCAAGATTCTTGAAAAAGAGTCTGATAACTTTTAAGTCTCTTCTTGGTTTCAGACATTCAACACTGGTGTATCCTACTTACATGAAGACAAAAAAAATGTTATCAGTGTGTGTAGATGGACATTTGCCAATATTGTGTAGGAGAGAGATTTTTTTGTTATATCACATTAAATATACAGTAATCATGTATGCCTCCTTTGAACGTCTTCAATCTTTAACCCTTTCACTGTCTCCTATATAGATCTGCATTTCAAACTCTGCTTCCTCAGAGGAGTTGCAAGTTGCAAATTTTCACGTAGACATGAGAGAATGAGTCTATACAATTAAAGTGCGCATGGTATAGAAAAAATCCTGAACCAAGCAGTGCATGATGAGTTTGGTTTAAAATAACAAGTTTGAGGTGCTTAGGATGTTTTTTATAGATTTATTGGAAGTAGCTTGAAATTGAGCTCAAACTAGTAGAAATATTTTATTTTTTACAATTTTTTTAGGATAGGTAAGGTGATCCTTGTTTATTTTATTGTTCTTTACGTTTACTTCACTTACTGGGGCCCCTAAACCTGACCT